AGAGAGAGAGAGAGAGAGAGAGGGGCCAAAGCTGTCACCCTGCACCACAGCACCAGAGCGGCAGCAGCCAGGCGTAAGGCCGGCGTGGGATTGAGCCATCGGCGCCTCGCCTGCGCTGTGCTCTGCTGTGTTCTGCTGCCAGTCTCGAGAGGCGCGCTTCGTGTCGCAGGAGCCGCACCCAATCTCGGCTCGTCCGCCAGTCAACGCACCGACGACGCCAACTCACATTCAAGCCGTCCTCCTCCGCCCGCCCGTCCGACCGTCCTCCAATCCGCCATCCGGACTTGCACTTCCACTTGCACTTGCACCACCCGCGACAACACCATCGAGAGCCGCTGCGCCTGACAGCGTGCAACCCACATAGCCGTACACCCACGCGTGCTCTCGTGCGTCCTCGGTGCCAACCGAACCCCTCTGCATGGTCTGCACATCCGCTGTTTCTCAAGCGCACCGTCCATCCATCCGCTCGGTCTGCTCCGTCTTTGCTGCGCCTGGCTGCTCGCTCATGACCGCACGCACCTCGTGATCATCGGTCTCCCGAGGCGCACCTCCATATCGCATCCCTCACGCCTCAACCCATCACCTATACCACCGCACCCACCATGGCTCAGGTCAAGCCCGCCTTGACGCTCGACGTCAACCTCGGCTCCTCCACCCACGCAGGCATCGGTGGCTCCGGCACAAGCACAACCCCGCGCTCCCACCGCATTGCCGTCGACAACAAGATCCAAAATCACATCCACGCTTCCACCTTTGCGCCCCAGTCCGACTACCAGAACGACGACTTCGATCAGCACGACAATGGCGGATTCAGCAGCGACGATGATGCACAGGACGTCTACGCCGCCGCCACCAGCAGGCTTAAAGCTGGCAGTGCAAGCGCTGGCGCAAAAGCCACCCGCGACACCGCACACTCGGCCACACAGCTCCGCTACCATCCCTCGGCATCCGCCGCCGCCGACTACGATGGCGAGCTGGACACCTACGGCGACGATGCCTATGCTCATGAACAGCACTACCAACACCACCACATCGCAGACGGCATCCACGACGAGATGGACTACGACGACGACGACGACGATGACGACGACG